TTGTGTAATACTCATTCTTAAATGTTCTGGATTAATTGTATATTCTGAACACGTTCCACAATTGCATATTCACTATAGTTAAATTTACGAGTTTTTATTTATGTTCGTTCTTTCTTCATTTTTTCATGCATGTTAGTATGGCTTCGTCACCTTCGGGTGTTGGCCAACACGTGCCTACCTTGGTGTTTGGAGGATTTCAGGGTCGAGTGTGTCATTTTCCATCTCTTAATTATTCTCTCCCAAATTTGTGAATCTACATTATCTAAATTTAATATATTACATGCTATATTAATTTATTCTAATTCTCTCAAATATGGAATCCTATTTTTTATAGGTGGTTTCATCATACTTTCTTCCATATAATCTATTCATGCTTGTTCATTATATTGTTAATTTGTTTGTCTCAAAAATTGTTGATCAGTTCTATATGTATATCATGGATTTTCTACTCCTGATGTACTACTTTCTTCTGCTGGATTACATTCTACTTTCAACTTTAATAAATTATTATATTCTTTTGATGCTAAAATATGTTCTACTCATATTTCTAAAATTATTTTTTTTTCATCTCTTCATCTGAAATTCTATGTAGTCCTAAATTACATGTCTTATATTTTTCTAAGTATTGTTTTTCATCTAAATGATAAATATCTTCTATAAGTTTATCTATAATATGATCAAAATTTTGCTCAACTAAATTAACATCTCAATTATTAAAAGCCATGTGAATACTCTCATTTTCAATCTCACTCTCATCATCTTCTATATTTTCTAATTGTTTATAATTACTAAATCTAATTGTTGCTTCTCCTATATTAGTTTCATATATTTGTACCCTATATGGCTGTCTATTTCTCGTTACTTAAGTTAGGTAATGTCGATTGAGTTTCTTCTGAAAATTTATTATATATGAGTTTTGCTTTTCTTATATTTACATGTTTACTACCAAATGTTTGAACTAAATTTTGAAATTCTAAATTAAACTTATGATTATATTTATCAGACACTTTTTCAATATATATTAAAGATTAAACTAATACAAAATTTTTTATATTCTCCTTTCATATTATAAATTTTTGTTCTTATGCTCACTTTAATATATTTACTAAATTTATTAATTGTCATAACGTAATTAGGAATACAACCTATGACTGCTAAATTTGAACTCAAGTCTACTTCAGCTGTTGCTATTACAGCTTATTGGTGATTATACCATCTATCATCATATATGTATACTAATGCTTTTGTGCCTACTTGTGCTCTAGTTAATCATGCTATTCCAATCAAATTGTTCCCATATGAATTTGACTATAATGTGATTTTCTCAAGTGAGTTACTACTTTTTTACTAAGTAAATTAAGTGTAACTTCTTTATTAATACAACTAACTTCATGTTGACTGATGCTACTTACAACTCTACTTCTATTTTCAAATAAACCTAGTTGATACAAATTATATTTATTTCTCTGTGTTCTCTCAAAACATCTTCTAATAATTCTTGTGCTCCTTCTTCGTTTGGATAAATATCTTCAGCTCTAATTACTTCTTTTCATTTTCTTCTAAAGAGTTCCATTTTTTGTTATCAAAAGGATTTATCTTAGGTCTTCTAATATGATTATTTGTACTTAAAATTAAATTTTCTAATTTATCTAACAAAGATGGTGGAAGTGATGAAGATGCGTTATGTAAAACTTGATTTATTTTTGCTATTTGTTCTTCAACTTGGTCTAATTTTTCAGCTAAACTCAAAATAGTTGAATAATTAAATTATTTTGTCTAATAGGGATATTACTACTAGCTACTAGTGTTGAAAAATCTGTTAAACCTACTGGTTCTTTATCTAACTTACTAATTTCTTTCAAAACTTGAATATATTTTCTATTAGTTCTAGAATCGGTCATTAAACTAATAATCTATCTATTTTATAATGTAACTTATCTACTTGTTCACTCAACTTTTTTTGCACTAATCCAATTTTTTGAACTTCTAATTTTAATTGTTCAACTATTTTTAGTGATCTAAGATCTACTTGCTTAGGCTTACTATCTATAAGGTCAATAAGCTCTTTTATCTCTCTTTTCCTTGGAAACCTTTGAATATTTTTATTATTATCTTCTAACTGAGATGTAATATAATCTAAATTTTGTCTAATTGTTTTTATGGATTTTTTTTGAAAATGCTCTAACAACTAGTTTAACAAATAATTATGCTTATTATTTTCTAATTTTATATTTTCTGCTTGACTAATAATAAGATCTACAATACTATTGACTTGTGGATTTTCTTCACCGTGCAACATATGATTATGTTTTCTTAAAGGAAAATAACAAACTAAACTATTTTGATCTAGAGTGATTTTCCTTTTTTGAGGTTCGCTAATTTCTAAATTAAGATAATCTATCATAAATTATAGTCTACATTTCTCTAAAGTTACGGTTAATTGGTAACTCTCTTTCTTATCTCAGGGTCTCTAAAGTTTGATATGTTGCTCTTTTTGCTTCTAAAACTCTATGCTGCACTTATGTGTTATTATATTTATTAATAAATGAAGAGTGTTCAATATAATCAAGATAAAATTTCTGCTTTTTCAAAAAAAAAATTTCTACCCCACCCATTTACCCACCTCGTTCATCGAACCTAGGACCTATACTACCCCACCCCTTTCCCCACACCCTCACCACCACTAGGCTAGCCCTAGTGGCTTCTGCTTCTTTAAAGTTTTGCTAATTCTTTTTTAAATATATGCTAATCTTCTCTTTATGCTAGTTATAACTAAGTGTCTAGGACAATAATTACCTAGTGGATGTGGTTGACAGGGTCCACAAAGACAATAATATTTAGTGTACATACAAAATAAAACAAGTGTGTGCTAGCAGTTGTGTTAATGACTTCCTTCCTCAAAGTACTTTACTATTATAATTACACTATTAAAATGCTAAATTTGGCTCTGATACCAAATTCGTAAAGCAAAAGACTTGGATAAATAGTCGGATGGTCATTATAACAACTATACATAAATCCTTGCATATGGAACTTGACATGTTTCAACATGACGACCAATCACAATGCAGACATAATGCGTTAAAGGCTGAACTCAGAGGTGCCTTGGTTAATATCCAGTTATTTGTATGGCAAGCATTCAACTGTAACAAAGTACTTGAACAAAGTATAATCATCAATTTAACAGGTTAATAATATAACTACAATAATATTTTCTTGTTGTGACGCAACTTATGTTTGTGTGATTTATGTGTGCTTTGGTGTGGTTGATGGCTAGGGTTTTACGTAAACAGCCATAAACAATGCCACGTAGGAAAATGACGTAGCACGTTTCTCGGACACGTGGCACACCTTCTGGACCTCACGATAGCGAGGGAACGAAAAGCCAGAGCCCCCGCAAAGCGACAAAAGCTGGAGAAGGGGATCCATTGTGGTGGGTCAACCCTTTCCGGCGGGGCCAAGTCTGACGTGGCCACACTTTGTCCCTCAAATTATACTTCATTTGAGTTTTTGTGGAGCATTAATTAACCCACCTAGCTGTGTTCTACGACTTTAAACGGCCACTTGAAACGAATGTGACAGCCAGGTGGGGATATCGGAAGCCCTCCGAGCAAAAAGATATTTACTATCTTGTGAGCGTAGAAAAGTAGCCAATAGCGAGATCCGAGGCGACAAATCAGCAGATTAAAGGTAACGTGTCAAAATAATATAGGGACACGTATAGAAAACGACTCTGCCACGAGTGAAAAGCTGTATCTGGGTAATTGAATGTGAACTCGGCCATAGGCGCGTGGAGTCAGAGCCGGAAAAGAGCAGTTTTTATCCACCTTTTATTTATATATTTTTATTTTTTTAACCACGCTGTAAAATTTGACCGAGCGAAAAACAGGGGAAAAAATATTTTAATATTATTCTACATTTTAATGGTGGAGCCAGTACACGTCACACTAGGCTGCCATATCCCACAAACGTGACAATAGGCCAACGCGAGGAAATAATTTCTAGATCGGCAGCGAACGTGGGACCCACACTTCTCGGAAGTTCCGTGACCGTGATCCGAGTTTCCTTCCCACGCTCCTGCTTCTGTATCAACCGTCGGATGGCTGGATCGTACGGTCCAAATGAGGCGCACTGATGGGCACGCACGAGCTCTTTTAGTTCGGTGACAGCTAGGACGAATCTGGGTTTTGAGTTTCTTTATTAATTAAAATATCGCCACGTATGAAAGCGATCCGACGGCGAGGAAACTTTGCGTTACTGGTAACGGCGACATCTGGACCGTGGAATGCCCATCTGGCTCCATTCAGGCGGGGCGACTGTTGTCAATTTGCGGAAATTGTTTTAGATTTTTGCCATCATTCGGTATTAATTAAACAAAAATATACAGAAAGGGAGAAAAAATGGAAAAACAAAAAACGTGGGATCGGAAATGATGAATTTGACCGGTTGGAACGATACTATCTGCGGTCATGCGGATTCCTTTTGATTGTCACGTTGCTTTTACCGAGGTCTCTGTGACCGGGAATAACCGGTTAACGACGTCGCTTAGGATAATTTCTTGGTTTTATTTTTTATTTTGTTTAATATTTACCCTGATTGTGGATTCGTGGGCAACAGTGCTCTTTGTTTTTATTGGGGAATAAAATAATTAAAAGACATTATCTTATCGATATTCATTAATTATCGGTATTTATTGATTTGTTTAATGATTTTTATATTATAAAAGTACGTGGTGAGAAAACATGGAAGCTTGGGTAGGAAGAAAAATAAAAATGCTGACACGTGGCTGTACAGACCGAAAAAGTGGGGGCAGGGTATGGACGGCGAGGATTTTGCCATGTCGGTGAGGGTTAAATGAACCGCAGGATGTGTCTCGGAATGTAGGGCTGAGATAGGACGATGCGATGCAGCAGGTGAATCGTGGCCGTCGACTAGGCTTTGGAGTGGTTTCGCTCGGAGTGAAATACCTAAAAAGAGGATGAGACAGACTGATAGAGAGCATAAAAAGAAGAGAGTTGGAAATAGAGAGAGAGAAAGAGAGAGGGGAAAGGGGGCTAGAGAGAGAGAGAGTGAGAGGTGGAGAAGATGAGCAAAGCTTGAGATATTTGGGTGTGGGAATAGCTTTGTGAGAGAGGAGATCGTTGTCGGGGTTGGGAGCTCGGAGCATGCAAATCCGGTGGGTTTGACTAAATTATCCGGCGAATTATGATGGATTTCCGGTGATGAGAGATGGGATTAGAGTCCTGTGTGTAGCTGATTTGTTGGTAGGTAGTTTTATTAGATATGGATAGGAATAGAGATGCGAGAAGGTCAGCTATGGCGGCCCCAAATGGCCTGTCACGGCGGAGACACAGAAGTAGCAGCCTCAGAGACTCTCCAGGTGCGGCCTCCTAACAGATCTAAGCCCTTTTAACAATACCCAGCTGCTGGTTTTTCGATTCGTTTTGATGGTTGTTTTGGTTTTCGATTTTTTGGTTTTTGCAGAGGACGATGGTCCGGTGGAGTTACCAGAGACGTCGAGGCTCAGAGATCGGAAGAAGGATCGAGAGAGGGATCGAGAGAGGGACCGAGACCGGGACCGGGACCGAGACCGAGACCGCGATAGGGATCGGTTGAGCCGGAGCAAGAGGCGGAGAGGCGATAGGTTGATGCACGGAAGCAATAGAGAAGACGGCGGCGACGATAGTTCCGAGGAGAGTGTAAACGACGAAGACGAGGACGAAGACGACGGAGGTGTGGTCGGCGGCGGTGGGTCGTCAATTCGGATGCTTCCGCCGAACCACCCATCGTCAACGGCATCTCTATCGTCGTCGATGTTAAATCACCGGAAGAGCTTCTCGCCGGTTCATAATCTTAATAGCAACAAGCATTTCAGGCCGCTCACGACTTTGAAGGTCACCGACGAGATGATTGGCGTTTCGGTGCCCCGAAAAGCACGGTCAGGTAGAGCAGAAATCAAGTGATTCAATGGAAAAAAGCTGGTTGTGTGAATATTATGGATTCCGGGATTCTGAATTATTATTATTTTTTTTTCAGCGTCGACGAAGAGGTCTAACGAATGGCCTTCAAGTTGCGGTGTTGTCGGAGACCAAATTCACCGCCAGGCTTCAACATCGCCTGTTCGGCCAAGCGCGTCGCTGATGGCTGGCCCGGCTCCCACTTCGCCTTCTTCTTCTCACGCCTCGGTTGTCCGGAAGAGGCTGGTTGGCCTTTAATTCCATCAAATTCAATTCATTTCTCTGCTTTTTTGCTTGTTTTCATTTCTAACATTTAGTGACTTTTTTTTGTTGCAGAAGCCAAACGGACCCAAACTTCGGCCGCCGAAGATATCGTCGTCGACCAAGACGGCGTCGTCCAATCAGGATGAGATAGAAAGAGAGATCGCGGCGGTGTTGTACGGGATGAATAGGCAGCCGCAGGGGCCGACGAAGCAAGAAGTTACCACCACCGATTCGATTAAGTTCGAATCCAGAGAAGCCAACAACAAATCTACCAGCGACGCCAAATCAAGAGTTTCGTCGCCGATCTCGAACTCGCCGTGTGTGGTTCCTCAGTTGACGTCGCCTTTCCCTCAGAATTCTGGCTCCTCTGTCACTTCCATGTCCGCCGTCGGTGGGTATTATAAGCTCACGGAGCTCTCGGTTTTGTTCATTTCTTTTTGGGTACCCCAAATGCTCCGTTTGGTTGCTGAGAGACTGAGAAAAAGGGATTGAATCGCTTGGTTTTTCGGTGAGCAAACAGAGTTGGGTTCTTTGTGTTTTTATCGTGACTGATGGAAATTTGGTGTCTTTGGTTCGAATCCGCAGCACCCAAGAGGAAAAGACCGCGACCCGTGAAGTATGACGACGAGAACCCGGCAGTTCAAAACAGTCCCATTTCTTCTACGGCCAAAGTGGTGGCTGATCAGCCTGCTAAGGTTGAGACTTCCGGTCCGAATTTGGAAAAAAACCCAGGATCTGCAGCTGAAAATGGCGGGTCTTTGTATGATTTGCCCCACTCTCAAGCTGTTCCGGCATCGCAGGAGGCTCAGCCGGAGTCAATTAGGCCGGAGAGCAACGCGGTGTCAAAGTCAAGGCCAGCGAACGATGAATCGGAGAGTCGAAATGTTAAAACGAGCAAGGAGGAACCTCAATCTCCCGAGAAGGAACCTACTGGCCTCAGATTGGATGATAAATGTGAAGAAATCACACTGACCAAACCGTGAGCATCAACGATTGATTCTTTTTTAACACTTCATTTTTTTCGATTTCTTCGATTTTTTATTTTTTTATTTTTTTATTTTCTGTTCGTTCATGGGTTTTTTTTCCAGGAATTCAACAATCCCAGAGGTTGAAAACCACCGAGAAGAAAAGTTCCAGATAGATCTGATGGTGAGCTTCATCAATTTTTCATTTATTTTTCCTTCATATTTTCCCCTTTTTAAAGGATAAATTAGTAATATTGAATTTTTTTTGGGTTGTTGATGCCTATATAAAAATATAGGCTCCTCCAGAAAGGGATGGTGAAGTTGATTTTATCTCCGTAGATGCAGAAACGGTGAGTGGGGACCACCTCTTCCATATGCATCTTATGGGTTTTGGTTTTTGAACATTCTTTAATTAATGTGTGTCACTTTGGGTTATCAGGAATTAAAAGCTGTAAGCCGAGAAGATGACAGCAAAGCTCTGAAAATTGGCAACAATGAAGAAGTGCAGCCTACAAATTTGGAAACTGAGAAGCCAAAAGCAGCCGTGGAAGAAGCAGAAGCAGCTGATTTGAAAAAGCAGACTTCTTCCATTGTTGGTGGGAAAGAAAGGAATTTTGATCTGCAGCTTGATTTGGAGAAGACTGATAGTATTAGTGGAAACAAGCTGCCCCAAAATGGCGCTAAGCATAACAATGAGAAAACTGGTAATTTACTCTCTCTCTCTCTCTCTCTCTCGCTCCTCTCTACCTCTCATTTGGGTTGCTCATATAGTGATTTGGTCTTCTGATTCTTCAGTGCAATCGGGCTCTGTACCTTTGCCGATGTCTGTGGCCGGTTGGCCGGGCGGGCTTCCTCCAATGGGGTATGCTTCTGTTATTTTGTTATATGTTCTTTTGCCATTTTTTTTTTCTTGTTATTGGCCTTGTTCATTGGTTTTTAAATAATACTTATTTTGGGGAAATGGATGTGTTCTCATCAGCAGATATATGGCGCCTTTACAAGGAGTTGTATCCATGGATGGGAGCACCGTTTCTTCAGCTCCGATACAAGTATGTAATTTTCGGTCATTTTATGAACTTGTAATTTCTTTTGTTGTTGCTCCTCTTGAAACTATGTGGAGCTCTGTGTTGTGTTTTTGTTTTCTAATGGAATTTTCAACTGGTGCAGCCGCCACATTTGCTTTCTAATCAACCTCGGCCAAAGAGGTGTGCAACCCATTGCTACATTGCGAGGAATATATTCTATCACCAGCAAATGTCAAGGATGAATCCTTTCTGGCCGGTAGCAGCTGGTTCGGGATCTCTGTATGGGGGAGCCAAGCACAGCAATCCCAATGTATTACCTCCAGAATTGCTTGGCAATATTCCAGGTAGAGGGGTGAATCCTGCACAGGAGAAGGGGCAGGGGATTTCTATGTTTCCTGCTCAATCTGCGAAGGACAAAACTTCACAAGCAGCAAACCTTGTGGATGCTGCGCAGAGAAAGCCAATTGTGCTCCAGCAAGGTCTACCTCCCGGGGCACCTAGTAATATCTTGGTACGTTCCTCGTTTTGATACTATTTGTTGCATTTGTTGAATGGTATTGTCACGGGGGTTTGAATATTGATACGTTTTCTTTATTGAAAATTTCAGCATGGTCCTGCTTTCATTTTCCCATTGAGCCAGCAGCAGGCAGCTGCTGCTGCTGTTCGACCAGGGTCTGTGAAGTCTCTTAATGCTGCTGGTGCGGCTTTGTCCGGTGCACCTACCTCCTCTTCATTGAGTGCAACAGCTGCCACTGCTGCTGCAGCTCCAGCAATGAGTTTCAACTACCCAAATATGGCTGGAAATGAACCCCAGTATTTGGCAATTTTGCAGAACAACGCATATCCATTTCCAATGCCGCCTCATGTAGGTGCACAGCCAGCCTACAGAGGACCCCATGCTCAAGCAATGCCTTATTTTAACGGGTCTTTCTATTCTTCTCAAATGCTCCATCCTTCTCAACTACAACAGCAGCAGCAGCAACAACCACCGCCGTCTCAATCACAGCAAAGTCAACAAGGTCATCCAAACACTACTATTTCAAGTGGTTCTTCGTCGTCCCAGAAGCATTTGCAAAATCAGCAGCAAAGACCACATCCAAGTGTTGTCAATGGCAGCAGCGGGAGCTTGCAAGGCTTTCCTGCCTCAAAAAACCAACCTTCGCAAGCAATACAGCCGCAGCAGCAGCAAACGCAGAACCTGCATGCTTCACGTCAACTTGAACCTGAAATGGGTGGCGAAGACAGCCCGTCAACTGCTGATAGTCGTGGCTCTCGTGCGAACATGAGTATTTATGGTCAGAATTTTGCAATGCCAATGCACCCGCCAAACTTTGCTTTGATGACACCTTCAATTGGAAGTGTCAGTGGTGCAACAGGTGCAAGTGGTAGTGAAAAGAAGCAGCAGCAGCAGCTACAGGGTTCAAAGGCTGGGGTTGAAGCATCCCAAACTTTCGCCATGTCTTTTGCTTCCTTAAATGGTGCTACCGCTGCTCCTGGCATTGACCTAACATCGATGAATCATGCATTTCTCCAGAGCTTGCCAGATGTTACTAGGCACAACTATCATCAGTACATGGCTGCGCCTGCACAACAGAAGAAGAATTATCGTGTTCCAGAAGAAGGGAAAACCGGAGGAGGCGATTCCTCTAATGTGGAAGAGGAAAGAAAGGTCATGGTGGGGAAAGCTTCATCAACTGTTGGACACTCCATTGCTTTTTCCAGGCCAGATATCACTGATACATCTGGTTCTACAATACCGGGCAACAATGTGATTGATAGTTCAGCAAGAGCTGTTAACCTCACCTCTACTCCTGTCCGATCGTCCAGTTCTGCTATGCCAGCTGCTGTCATCCCTGCAAATGCACCGGCACCCCAGCAACAAATGCGGAATCACCAGCAACAGCAGCAGATGAATCAGCTTCATAAGCAGCAATTTTCTGCGGCTGTAGCTCGAAACAAAACGCCAACGACGAGTAATGGCAGCGTGTACTCTGATCACCTCCCTTCAACCTCTTCTATGGCTGCGAAATTTCCTAATGCTCTATCTTCATTCCCCCAAAACCTTGTCCAAAGCAGCACCAGTCCAGCTCAATCTCCACAGTGGAAGAATTCTGCGAGGACAACCACTTCCCAAGTTCCTTCATCATCTCTGGCCTCGCCAACCTCATCGTCCCTCAAAAACCTCCCTCAGAAGCACGGGCGGACACAACAAAGCCACACACAGATTTCATTTGCTGCCAGCACGAAGGCTTCAACCCAATCTCAAGGGTTACAGCCTGCCAGTAGCAATCAGTCTCCATCTCCTCCGGTAATGGTCGGTTCGCCCACAACCACAACCTCATCAATGGCGAAGAGTGCTGGTGGAAGCCCCAGGACAACTAGTTCGACTTCCACAGGAAATAAAGCTGGCCAAGTATCGTCTTTGTCATCTCAGCAGGCCAAGAACTCACCAACAGTGCCCAGTCAGAAGTCGTCTCCTGTTGGCGGGAGGAATGTCCCTTCGATTCTAGGCCACGCCCATGTTACGTCTTCGAGTGCTGGTACGAAGCCACAATTGCATCAGCAGCATCAGCAGCATCATCAACATCAGCACCAACACCCGCAACAACAGCACCAGCAACAACAGTTCTCTAAGCAATTGCTTCAGCAAGCGCATTTGTTCTTCTCTAATACCTGCATGCAGCCCCAAGCTTCACATTCCAATAGTAACACCTCTACTCAATCTCCTTCAAGTGGGTATTACCATGGTCCAAGACGCCGACCCGAGCAACAGCAGCAGTCACAAGGCTCATCTGGGACTTCCTCGAGTGGGATGTTGTCACTCTGCCCTCCCGTTTCACATTCTAATATGAGCACCAATGATCCTGCAAAGGCGGCAGCTGCTGCAGCTACCAACAACATGAAGGGCGGTAACTTATCCTCTCAGGCTCTTATGCGTGCTCAGTTTGCTGCAGCACAATCCTCCGGGCCACTCCAGCTTGTACCTGCAGGCTTCACTTATGTACATGCTGCTGTTCCTACTGCGGTCCAGGTAAAACCGGCCGAACAGAAGAAACAACCCGCGGGTGAGTAGAACAGTTATCCCTCGGCGCAACATTGCAACCCCCATAAAATCGACAGATGAAAAACTGGAAAGGGAAGCTGAAATCAGTTTTGGTGGGCGGGGATTGTGTACTAATGAAGGGAAAGCTTGATTCTTGCCCAAGGAAACGAGAATTTGCATACTCCCTCTGGCAGCCTAAGAAGAAGTGGAAGAAGAAGCAAGCACAAGACACCGGGAAGGTCTAGGTGGAATACGGAATTTGAACCCACAATTTTGGGATGAAAGTTTAACAGGTGGGGGTAAAATTGTCCTATTGAAAAGAGTAGTTTTTGTGTCTACAATCTGACAGGGTTGATGGTGAAAGTCTAATTAAATTTGATTGGTTTGATGAGAGGATAGGATGGGAAATTGCAGGAAAAGTTGGGATCTTTTGTTGGGGCAGAAAGAGGGAGAACGGCAAAGGAGGATGTAACAGAGGTGTTCTATTTTTCCTTTCTTTTTGGGAGGTTTAAATTTCCAGAAAGGGCAGTAGAACTTTTGACATATTTTATATGAAAGGGGTGTAATGTGCATGTCTTAGTGCATATAATGGTAAAAGCCTTTTGGGAATTTTTTTTTTTTTTTTGGTTTTTTTTTGGTTTTTTTTTTTATAATTAAATTGTGTCACAAGATGGTGTTTTTGTTCACTTGGCCTTTTGTGCCCTAATTTTGTATGGTTCGCTTTACCTTTATTCCTTATATTGTCTGTACATATAATATGGTGCTGGCAGAAGCTTTGAGGAGGAGATTGTGGGTCTTGATGTTTGGTGATAAAAGTATGACAGATGATTGTGCTCACGTGTGATGTGAAGGGGATAAATAAACAAACAACACTACAATTTGGCTTCTTGCATCTTTTTGCAAACTATTTCTCTAAATTACAATCTTATATATACTAGTGTCTGAACAGAAGAAATTCAAATTGTATCAGTCTGTAATTTGTCGGTAATTAGATCTGTTTGCAAAGCGGAATGATTTGAATGGGATTCAAATGGTACAAGCACCATTTAGGGATTATATGGTGGGGCCCAAAGTGACTCCCACTCATTGTGGTGTTTTGCCAAATGGTTAAGACAACCACTAGCCTTGTAGCCTTTGACAATGGTTGGTTGTTGTTGAAAAGGGCGCGCCTCTTTATCGTCATCATCTTCTTACACGTGGCTGATGTCATAGCAGTCCTAATCTTGTATTTAATTAAGTGATTGCTGGTGAGATTAAGCATCTATCTCTCCATCCACCCGGCTCGTCCAGGACCAGGAGATTTGCATTTGACTTTCCAGTTTTACCCACAAGAGAACATATATGTCCCACATGGCGGTTGGAGCCCTACCCTTCCTTTCGAGAGGAATCGGATCCCCTCCTAAGCAAATCACACGGACAATTAAAATTTAATCCAACGATTGTAATTATTATAATTTTTAGAAACGCCTTCTGTTTATAGACGTTGAATTAAATTTCGACGATTCAAATCCTTTACTCAGGAGGCTCAACCTCCGAAGCTCTGGTTCCCTTCCCAGAAACCCCTTAGAGTGTGAAGGGGTAGGAGGTCGCAGGACGTGTTGTTCTCACAGGCTCCTGCCAACATTGTGAGGATGGCCTTTTAGAAACTGAGTCTCATCTGCACACATGTTAACATTGCTTTTTATGTTTATTTTATTTTTGTTTTCAAGGGAACTAGAAAACTCACTCACGTAGAATCGAACTTAAACATCTTATTTATATAATTTCTCGTTTATAAATGAAAAATAATATTATTAGATTGTATTCTAAGTAGCTTGGAGATGATGTTTTAATTTTGTTTTTTTCAAGCAAACTAGCTTGTGAGATGTATCTGTGATTTGTTTTACTACACTTCAGAAAAGTTCAATATGGCCTTATAGATGTCACTAGCGTTTCACGAACAAGTTATATTGTAAAAATCAACAAAATTAAGTTCTTGTACTAGAATTTACATGTAAACTGCCTTGGTAAATTGATGTTTTATTAATTATTCTTTGTATTGGTTTTTATCTACAAAGAGCAAGTTGGAAGTCACATAAGCTCAAATATAGATCCCATCGTCATCATTTAATGGTTGACTTAACATATTTTTTTTAACGGATATATGAAATTCAAATGAAATAATAAAAAATGTATGAGATTGAAATATTTGAAAGACATTCTATAAAGTTACAATTGAGCCCAAACCTGAGAGTGTAAAATGTAATTTACCTACAATCTATTTCCTATGCTGAACGTGATGGAATATGGAGGGTATGGCTTGTGCTAATATTTGAATATTCCCCAACTTACAAATCTTTGCACTTGAAAACCGGAGTTACTCTTTCCTTCTTTTTTTATTTTTTATTTTCCCTCTCCTCCTCCCTCCCCTGCTCTCTTAGTTTCATTAAAGAATCATGATACGGCTTACTCTTGAGCGATCAAATAGTAGGGGAGGGAGAGGAAGGAAAATAGAAGAAGAGAGAATACAAATCCCTTGAAAACAAATAAACCCTAACCTCCCCCTCTCGAAGTTTTAGGTAATTGACCTAACGTTATATACTTAACTATTCATTTTATTAGTCTTTAATTTATGACATTTTAATTAAAATGAAACTGCTTACTTAGTTGGTGTTGACGTAATAATCTGCTAAATCCCATCAAACAAATACCTATAATCATAAGGGATTTAGTCAATTCTCAAACCACCTGAAATTTGTTAAGATAAGATGACAATGGTAGTTATAAAAGTGACGTCGATGTAATGTTGATTGAAGATTTTCTAATGATTTAGTTAAAATGAGATGTTATTAAGGTTGGTAATCTTGCAATAATTTCTAATAGAAAAAACAAAATAGTACGACATGATTGCAAACGTGAGCGTAACCACATTAGATAGGACTAATGTGCTATATATCTCAAATTTGAATTCGGCTTTCCATAGTTTACACTACTTTAAATTACAATATTAATTCTGTAAAAGAAGTGCAAATAATAATATGGAGATGAGAATATCATTAGAAGTCCGAGCATTTTAATTTAGCTCCGGGATTGAACTTAGCTTGGACATGCATGCATGCATGCAAGGATACATTGTCTAACTCAATATAGCAGAACGTATATAGTTGTGATGCAATTCTTGCATGCTTTTTCACGCCCCGGACTCTCAATTCGGTAGAAAATCTCGAATTCGAACGTGATCTAAAATTAAAGAAAAAATAATTAAAAAATATTTACAAGACTAAAATAAATAAAGAATACTTCTCACATATGAGTGATCATGTACAAATAGTTTCATTTCATCGTTCACATAGACGATAGTATATTCTCAACCAATAATAATTTCACAATCAACATAAAAAAAAATCCAGTTAATTAGCAATGATATACTTATATCCAAGTAACACCAAACAAGATTAATCGACCAACAATTATATAGCACTTTGCGAAATTTAAGCAAACCAAGTTTCGTAAAGATCTGCCCGATTTCCCTCACTTGAATTCCAAGGCATTGCTTTGAAGTATTAACACAAGAATCCACCATTGCGATAAGCTCCTATTCACAAATGCAAAGACAATACAAAATGCATGAAGCAACTCTGACCCTAGTCAGATAACTTGGCATTACTAATTTAACACCACTCCTTTCATATATCATTACATTTATGCAATCAGGGTAACCATTATTAACTATACACTTTGTTTCGTATAGCTAAAACTTGGCATATGAGACATATATGCATATAGCTTGAAAACGTGAATCATCAACTTTGTTTTTGTCCTAGTGTTTATTGCTTCACGTTACCTCATTTCTAACATATTTGTTGGAGGTGCCTTGTGTGGGTACTTGAGTATGACTACAATAATATTTCGATGATCAAGCTTTATGAGTAGTTTGACTCATTTAGTTCTTCAATATCGTCCACTTTGTTTATCAGACATTTAGTTGTCATCTTTTGCACTGGTTTGATTATTTTTTTCAATAATATAATATCATTTTTCTTCTTAAATATAAAAGAAGGAGAAGTATTCCTTAATTCTTCCTTAGACCATCTCCAATGGTTGGGCTAAAAGCCAAATTTTTTAGCCCGGAAAATTTAGCTTTTAGCCCAGAGACAACTTTTCTGCTCCAACCGTTCTGACCTAAAATTTTAGCCCGGGATTATTAATGAATGAACTTATGCTATTTTTTTTGTTAAATTAATTTTTTTTTTTAAAAATAAATATGTAGACTATCGTAAATTAATTTTATGAACATTTTAATCTAAAAAAATTTAAATTCCAATAAATATTGAAAAATCACTAAATTTCCCACAAAGCACAATTAATAAACTTAATTAATAAAGTACATAATTAATAAACTTAATTAATAAAGCACATGATTAATAAACTTAATTACTAAAGCACATAATTAATAAAGCACATAATTCATACACTACATAAACTTAACAATCATATCCGCTATCTTCACTTGGTGATGGACTTCGTTGAAATGTTGGGATATAGGGTTGAGAAGATTCATCATCTTGAAACATACTCCTTGAGGCAGACTTTCGCATAATTTCCTTTTGCTTACCACGTAAGAACTTCTTCCTCTCTGGAGTGTATTGGCTGAGGTCCTTCATCATGAATTCAATTTCAAACCTATTTTCCTCCCTATCCGAGATTTCCTTCATTTGCAAACGCATTCGAGCCGCTTCTTCTTGGCGAGCGCTATGAGTTTCGTTCAATTTTGCCATTCCGGTATCAAAGTGTCCACTCATCAGATCTTGGGACTTCCCTTTTCTCTTTGCTTCCTTTTGCTTATCTCTTCCTGGGGGCCTTGCAAAAGAAGGAGATGGGGTCATTTCATCGACACCTTCAGCAACACCTTCATCTCCGGCATTTGTCTGTGCAGCTTCACGTTGAAATAATCTTCCCCATTGTTGGTCAGCATCGGTTCCCCACCTTGGACAATCCTTGAGGATGTCCCAAGCATGTTGCAACTTAAAAACTTGATTTTTTGGTGTTACTCTTGTCTTGTAAATTTCCATTGCTTTGTCACCCTATGCAAAAAATACATAAAAATAATTAGTTGCAACATAATATTATGTACATGACAAATAAAATATCAAGAAAAAAACTCACAATTTCTATGGCGCTCCTCCCACTAGCCATGCCAACCACGGCTCTCTCCAAGCTTCCCTTCCATAAAGTGCATGCTTTGTTGATAGTCTTCCACCGATCATAAACACCACCACCATCCCGCCTGCTACCATTGCAGTTTTCTTGAAACTTTGCAATGATTTTATCCCACAAAACCTTCTTATTTTGATTAGTGCCAACTGCATCATCTTCGCTAACAGAAACCCATGCCAAGCATAGAGCAACATCTTCCTCACAAGTCCAATTATGACCTCTAATATGCTCTCTTGCCATGTTGAACAATTTGGAAATGGAAAGAAATGGTAGAAAGATAAATTGGAAGAATTGTAAGAGAAATTTGAGTTTTGTGTGGATGTTTGAACAAATACATAGGTATTTATAGAGTTTTTGGGTGAATTTTGAGTTAAATAATTTTTTTTAATTATTTGAACCGTTAGATTTAAATT